GGCCACTCTGAGCATTCCCCTCCTGCCCGCCTTTGCCTGCCTCTGCGCTTCCCCCTTCCCTCTGTGGGTGTGCTCGGCCAAGAGACGCTCCACAAGCCTGCCCTGGGTGAAGGAGCCCTTCCTGGGAGCTGGGACAGAGGCACACGTCGCCTGTGTAGTCTCGCAGGCCCTTGGTGCAAGTGAAGGCATGTACCTCTCCCCCGTATTGCTGTCACAGAAGGGACAGCAGGCTTCAAAGTTTGTTGGGGAGAAGTTCCTCTGTCTGACACAGATTATGAATCTGCAGGCCAGACATCTAAGGCTTTGTTGTTACCTGTTCCTGTAATAAGCATCTGTCTGCTTTTGCTCCTTCAGCTGCATTTGGTTTTGTCAGGTGCAAGTAGACTTTATTTTCTATTATTGTTGCAGATTGGCTAGCAGGCTGGATGCTCTATAGGAGGTCCTGATGGCAGAAGTGGATATGGTGGTCTGATAGTTATGCCTTGGTTTTGTATGTTTTCCTCAGAAACTGTTTTAGTTTATTTCCATCAGTTACCAAAACAGCAAAATACCAAACGAATAGGAGAAAAGTATTGAAATAACTACAGCACTAGTAGATGAACATAACAGTTGTTTAGGTGACCCACACATCTTGCCTTATCAACACAAGTCTGATTTGTAATCATTCTATGTCTTTTGCAGCATTTGGTCCTGAAATTTTAATTTTATAGAGTTACCATGTCTTGGCTCGCTGATCTCGCTGGAAAGGCAGAGGATCTACTCAACAGAGTTGATCAAGGAGCTGCATCGGCTCTGAGCAAAAAAGACACAGCAAGCAGTGCAGTTTATGATAATAAGAATTTGGAGTCTGCCAGTGAATATTCCGAATTGTACCAGCATACTGGAGAACTGAAATATCAGACGTCATCCAAAGCAGCCTACATCTCCTCAGCGGCTGATAATATTAAACATCAAAAGGCAACAATCCTAGGAGGAACAGCACACGTTAAACCAGGACGTAGGACATCTCCGGAGGTTGCTTCTCCAGTAGAAAGTGTTTCCACACCCAGAGCTGCCTCACATTTTGTGAGAAGAAAAAAGTCTGCACCTGATGATGAGTTGCTATTTGATTTTCTCAACAGTTCAGAGAAAGAGCCTAATGGAAGAATGGACTCTAAAAAAGAGAAGAGCAAGGCACCTGTTCTTCAAAATCACTCTCGGACTTCAAGCATTAGTTCTATGTCTACCAGTACACAGAGTGCAAAAACTACTGAAGATAATTCCATCAGGAGCCAAGGCAACGGTAGTTAAATAGTATTGAACCTAGAGATATTTAAAACCCAAGTATGTCTAGGGTAAGGCTAGGTAATGGATTTACTGTCACTTCATGAAACATTTAGTGCTAGTAGTATGTTAAATGTGTGGAGTACAGAAGGGTTTTTAACACTTTTTTTCATCACTGGGATAATTTTAAATGCTATGCTAATTTAACAAGCTGCATAACTAATACCTAAATCTTTTGTATTCTTGATCTACCTTACTGCTACTGCTCATCTTGACCTCCCTGAGCTATGACCTAACCTTGCATGAGCCCCCATACAGCCTCACTTAGAAGCACAGGAGCTGCTGCATTTGTTTGGTCACTCAGGGTCCCTTACCTGTTGTTGCATGTAGGAGAGTGAGTGACTTTCACTGGCTGGTAGATGGTGTTGGCTGTCGCCCAATGCACCATGTGAGGTGATGTGAGGTTTTCTGTCTTCCATGGTGGAAGAGGGATAAGGTGTCAAACGTGCTTGTCCTGCAGAGTGGGAAGTTGGATGTGGATAGGCTGTTGTAGAGCTACAGGCATGAGAGAGGTAGATAAATAAAGCCTTTGGGTTTGCCAGTAGTTCACTACTGCAGTCTAAATCCAGACACCTGAAAGAGCCTCCAGGCCAACTCGTCAAAAATCGGGGCTATTTTCAAGTCCATGCAAAGGAGAATGTGGCTGGGAACTGTCAGGAACTTGTGTTCTCTATCAGACTGTTGAATCTATACTCAGTCCTTACTGTTCTACTTTGCTGTTGTTTATTCTATAAAATTGGAACAAATGGTTATATTATGTCTTAATAATGTAGTTAGAATACATTATTATTTGTTCCATACTTTGAGTATGTAAAGCATTGTAAATGCTTATTTTTTACTTACTACATTAAGTATGCTGAGAAGTTTTAGAAGTAAAAAGGGATCATTTCCAAAGATGTGAATATTTTTGTATTTCTGGGTCTGTAACTTTTCAATAAGGTAGTAATAATCCAAATATGTTAGACCTGGCTGTATGGCCTTGCACAGTGGTGCTTAAGGAACATACTTGTTTTGCTCAGTCTGGCCTGTTGAATTTTCTTCTGAGGATTTTTGAGTGGAGTTTGCATTGTGGAGCTGCCAAACAAGGAAGCACACAATTACAGTTTGAGCACCCTGGTTTCAAAGTCGATTGTATAGATATATCTATGTCATTTAAATGTTCTGTATAGCATCTGTTGAAGTAGCTTATGATATATTAGCTATAGACAAAAATTATTAGTGTTATACTTTGTACATTGCCATGGATATTATCTAATATGTGCTATAAATGGCTAATGTCTTGCTTTGTTAAATTCATTAATCTGTTGAGTTTTCCAGACAAAGGAATGAGAATAAATTGTCTGATAATTTGGAAATTGTGTAAATGAATCAAAAGGAAGACAATGACACTTCTTAGAACCGTTTAAATAGGAAAGAGGTTTGAGAAAATGTGGAAGAAATCTTGCTGTCACTGCTTCTACTTGTTGGTGTGGTGGTGTTCGGAATTAATAGTCTGCCCCAGCTTCCTGGGCTCTGGGTGATAGGGGCTGTTGCAATGGTAACAGGGAAGGTGGAGCAGATTGCTTGGTGATCACAAGGTGAAGTAAATAGCATTGTGACAGCTAAACTGCAGTCTTGCATGGAATTATTTGCACTCTGTCCCCCTGGATTTTCAGCAATTACTCATTTGGGACATACTAAATTCAGCAGTAATGTTTTTTGATCACCTGCTTACTTGCTCGTTGTGTGCTATGTTTTTTATCTTAACGCTGCTGCAAAGCTTCCAGTTATCTGCCTGCTGGAATCGAGCCTGTTAGTGAATGTATCAATTTCACAGCATTAATCCAGGATGCTCTGTGTGTGTGTTTGTGCATAGTGGGGAAAGGCTGTTCATTCCTCCTTCCCTGTGAGGCACTGTTGTTCAGAATATTGCCAGGACTTCACTTACTGTTCTCACTGAGGTTCTAAGATTTAAAAAAAAGAAAAACAAAAATCTGTTTTTTGATTTCCATAATCTAGAGAATTACAGTTTGTACTGTCAGAAAGCTTTTAATGGTTTGACAGAGTATATCTACCCTATTTTTTTTTTCATTAAAGAAAGGACAGATTGTGCTTCTGCTTCATATCACTGCAACTTGATTTCTTATAGTAAAAGTGCTTTTGAAAAAATATTTTGAGAGAATTATTAATGCAGAATTATCAGTAAGATGATGTTTTGATTGAAGTTATTCTTATAATGTTTTTTTACATGAAGATAACTAAAATATGTGGCTGTGTGGCTGAGTTACATATTTAGGCTTGCTATCAAAACGACTAAGTATAGTTGTCTGAACAGATTTTTTTAATATAAAATTTACATCCTTGAAATCGAAATCTTAATGGCAAACAAGAATGAACTTGTACTAAAAATTCTCCTAGTTAGTTGCTATGTATATTTAATCTCTTCTGTTACTGTCTAAGCTTCTCAAGACATCTCTGGGCAGCATAGTCATAAAAAAAAATAATGTTTTGAAATCCTAAATTTGACATTAATAAGAAATTTTGTAACTTCCATGTCTTGTCTTGCAAGATTAACAAAAATGCTGCATGATGCATGTATACTGTGTAAGAGTCCTGTTTTGTGGAAGTTCCTTGCGAGAAGCAGCTCCATGTTCCATTTCAATATAAGCTATTTTGATGATGATGACTGTTATTATTATAATACTATGCATTTAACCACAGATGCAGGACATGGAATTGCTGTTTGTATTAAGGCAACTTACAAATACATATATTAGTTCTAACTTGCATCTCTCTGTACAGAAACTCCAGACAGTTCAGATTCTGGACTAGGAGCACAAGGGGATGGCGTGAAGGATTCATTACCAAGTGCAGTAACTAATCCTAGCCTTTCAGCTAATGATGATTTCAAATCACATGAGCTATCCAACCTTCGCCTGGAGAATCAGCTGCTGCGGAATGAAGTTCAATCTTTAAATCAGGAAATGGCTTCATTAATTCAGAGGTCCAAAGAAACGCAAGAAGGTACTGTGGTTTGGAAACTCAGCTGTAACATATTACTAAAATGCTAGTGAACTAGAAGACAATGCTATTTCTATGTTAGTGTTTTGTATTTATAATAAAATCTTTCTAGTTAAATTTGTATGTATGACTTACCAAGCAAAATGATTCTTGGTTTCAGAATAATGGGCTGAGAGAAACTAAAAGACTTGTTCAACTACAACGATAACACAAATGTTCATTAAAGTGTTAACTTTAAGTTGATTGCAAAACTTACATCTTACTAAAACAGTGTCAGCAAATGTTATCAGTATTAAAACACTTTTCCTGCATTTGCTATTGCAAAATAATTATTTTTAGATGAGTAAATTCCTTTAAATACTTCAAAATCTGACTACTTTCTGGCTGTAGGCTATAATCTCTGATGCCTAGAAATTGACAGTGAAAATATAAAATTTAGTATTTTGGTATGACTTCACTGGCTTTTTCAAAGCCAAATGAAATGACAAATATAAAAAATGTGAATATAAATTAAACATACTGATGATAAAACCAAGCCCTGCTGTTAGGCATACAACTGAAGAACTGCGTTTTTTTCAAAGTAACCATATAAGCCAGAGAACTTTAATTTCCATTGAAGTTTAATATGTGGTGTTTGACTTTAAAACAGAAGCCTCTGTAAGTATTCAGACATTATTTCAACAGTGGTGTATTTTTCTACTCTTTTTTACGTTGAACCTTATTGTCACACTGAGTTGAACTAGGTGCTTTATGCAGAGGTTTTCAGAGGCTTGCTTGCACAGGGGTATTCAACAGTAGGCCATTGCAAGGGGTGGGGCAGGTAAAATTTGTCATCTGCAGTGTGACACAGAATGAAATGCCTGTTTTGAGATCACCTGTGAAATTTTATGGCTTGTGCTGTGAGAGCCAGTCTGGCATTTGTTACTTCTTGGTAGCTCATAAAGTTTCAGTGTGTTTGATTTCTTTCTTTAAGAAATGTGATGTGTGCATCCTGACCATTTGCAACACCTTGAAATACCTACTTTTATAAACTTGAAAGACACTTCTTATTTTGTAGAATTGAACAAATCCCGGGAAAGGGTGGAGAAGTGGAATGTTGACCATTCAAAGAGTGACAGGATGGTTAGAGAACTTCAGGCTCGAGTTGATGATCTGACAGAAGCTGTTGGTGCCAAGGATTCACAGCTAGCTGTGCTGAAAGTACGGTTGCAAGAAGCTGATCAGCTCTTAAGTGCTCGGACAGAAGCTTTGGAAGCATTGCAGAGTGAAAAATCACGGTACTTCACAATTTCATACTTCATAATTCTGCAAATGGTAATAAGTTTGAAAATTCAAGGTAGATAATTTAGTCTCTTTAAGAATAAAAATTAATAAACTAATGGGGAAATGGATTGTGTCAAGATTTGAAATATGAGGATTAAAGTTTGCTCTGAGCCTGCTGTGTCACAGCTGACAGAGGGAACGGGGCAAATGAGTCACTAGGGGCAATTGTCACCTGATCATTGAAATCCATTTTGTTTAAAAGCATTTATGTTTGTGTCTGAGGCCTGAAGCTGAGGATCTCAAGAAAAAGTTTGTTTTGAAAAGTACATTTCCTTATCCACAAATATGAAGACTTTTCTGACTTCTCTCAGTGCTGGGATATGAATCGGCAATTGGATACTCCAGAATATAGGTCAGGGAGGAGATGCGTGAGTCATTAACTCCAGGCCTCACATCTGTAGTCAGCCATATTCAGGAATTTACTGGATAAACTTTCAAAGCGGGACTAAAAACCAGGTAGTCATTTTTACCTGAAAATCACACTAGATTTCTTCTTTTTTGATTAATATGTATATCGCTCTTTCAGGATAATACAAGACCACAGTGAAGGGAGCAGTTTGCAAAACCAAGCCCTTCAAACTCTTCAAGAGAGGCTGCGTGATGCAGACTCCGCACTCAAGCGAGAGCAAGAAAGTTACAAACAAATGCAGGTTAGACATGAAGAGTAAGGAGGAGTTCCAGACTCTGCTTTAGAGATCAAATCTGAGGTTCCAACTACTCTCTGTTCCCCTTGACATTAATTCCTGTTCAGGGCACTAAGTGCTTGGAAGGATGTGCTGTCTGCTGCACTAAGTATCCTTGTGATGCTAGTTTACTTATGTTATTTTGAAAGCTCTATGCTTAAAAGTTTTTGAGGATTAATGCTGACAATTTTACTGTTTTTTTCCATGCTAACTTTAATGTTAAAACATGTTTTAAAACAAAATCAGTAATCAATTTAATCTTCCATGCTATGTCGTTATGCAACAAATTTTCACACAATTTTAATATGTAATCTTAAACATATTAAGCCGGACGATCACTTCTGTGGTAAAAATGTGAGTACATCATCGCTAGAGACTGCTTTCCGCACTTAGCTTAGCCTTTGTTACGTATAATAGCATCTTTGAAAATCTTTATCGGTGTCTCTTTGTTTTTTTAAAGTACATCAAAATATGGCAGACTACATTTGGTAATATTTTTTGAGGGGAAAGCTTACTTTTTGTTTACCAAATAAATGTGAATAACAGGAAGATTGTTATTCCGTCACTATTTCTGGTGAGGGAAAGAAATGCATATTTTTACTGATACTATTTAGCACTTGCTTGAGCAAGCAGGATTTCTTTCTGCTAGTGCATTTTTAAGTTGCAGGTGGTAGATATGAGGTGTTATGTCATGCGTAGTTGCTTTTAAACTTTCTTTTTTCCTTTCTAGGTTAAAGTTGAGACTGTTTAAACACAAAGTGTTTTTTCTTTATTGCTAATAGAATGAGTTTGCAGCTCGTCTAAGTAAAATGGAAGCAGAACGTCAGAACTTGGCAGAAGGGATAACTGTAGCAGAAAGAAAGTATTTAGATGAAAAGAGGAGAGCTGATGAGCTTCACCAGCAAGTCAAAGTAACTAAAAACCACCTAGAATCTGCAAAACAGGAACTGACAGACTATAAACAGAAAGCTACCCGCATACTCCAAGTAAGCATTTCTGTAAAGAAATCCAGTTTGATTTGTACACTTAACTTTTCTAAGGTGTTATGCTTCAAATAATCTAATTTGTGGGGTTTTTTTTCATGTGACCTGTAATATATTTTGGGGCATATCTATAATGATACCTATACAGAACAGCTACCAGTGTGCGTTTTGTAAATATAAGTTTCCCGATTGAGTTAAGTAATTGAAATGGAAGTTCAGGTCCTGAACTTAATGAAAAATCCAGGTGAACCATTGCACTTACTGTGCAACATCTGTTAGTGTGTTCCGCAACCCGGAGTCCAATCTTAAGCACATAGGTGAATAGATGTAACCTACGATTTCTTCCACGCCCAATATTCTTGAGTCAAGAATATTGCTCTATTCTGCTTGAGGCTGAAGCATAGCATGTAATGGATACTTCTGTGTAAATCAGAAAAGATATTTTTATATATTTTGAAAGGCTGCATGTGATCAACATTATATAAACAATGGCAAAATCAGGTATTTTGTGCAGAGCTCTATGCTACTTAAGTTGTCAAAGATACCAAGTCTAAACCTGGTTAGTTTGAGTCTTACTTAAAAAAGCTAGCAAAATGTTGAAGGTAAAGGTCTCTGTTTAGAATAATTAGTTTAGTCTGATATCCAAGGACAGATTTTAAATCTTCTTGATAAGTACAAAAAGCATGAGAACAGAAGTTGACATTGAGCTAACATTAGGTTGACTTTGACTAAATGGTTCATCCTCTTTCCCAGAAGAGTTACTGCTGTATTTGGTTCTTACTTGGATTTGTTGGCAGGAGAAAGGACAGACTGAAAAAGGGAGTCTGTTTTGTCTTTAGTGTCCGTCTTTTCTCTTATGGTAGCTGGAAAGCCAAAATTGTTATCCACCACATGTTTAACATTTCAGCCACCTCTAAAGAAAAAAACTGTACTCTTTTCTCAGATAGCACAGGCTTTCAGTAAGTCCAGTCTCGTGCCATACAGGAAGTCAGAAAAAGTATCGGTAGGGAAGCATTTTCATTTACAAATGTGTAGAGTCATTATTAACTTGGCTAAAAGAACAGATAAAGCAGGTCTCTTACTGTATGTCTGCATTTGAATTTTAGAGCAAAGTCATTTTGGTATATTCTGGTTGAGCACTCATTAAATCCTGATATAAATAATACATTGACTTATTATTTCAGTCTAAAGAGAAGTTGATAAACAGCTTAAAAGAAGGCTCTGGTATTGAAGGGCTGGATAGCAATACTGCAAGCACGATGGAACTAGAAGAACTGAGACATGAGCGAGACACTCAGAGAGAAGAAATACAAAAACTAATGGGCCAAATACAACAGATGAGAACAGAGCTGCAGGTAGCTATGATTATGTACATATGTATTTGTAGTTAACCATGCACGAAGGACTGTTTTCTTGTATACTTTAGGGCTGTTGCTTCTGGTGTTTATTTGACCTAGTATTAAAATAAGCCAGCTTTTGCTCAAGGTGAGACAAGTGCTTATGGATACCCAATTTCTTTCCATGTTCTCTCTCACCACTTCACTCATGGTGGGAGGAATACTGTAGATATCACTCTTCTCTTCCCTCACTACTGTGTGCTCCAGTTGAGGGAAGCGTTTCTTTCCAGACAAGCATGGTGATTTCTGTAGAGATCACCTATATCATTTTCTGCAAGAGCTACTGATCCTTGAAGCAACTGTAATCCAAGTCATCTGCTGTCATAATTGGCTCAACCCAGCAGTTGCACACAAGCCTACTTTACACAGTTTTAGCCTGTAGAAAGGAAAAAGTGGACGCTTTTCCTGTTCACAAAATGCATTTATTTTATTACTATATTAGTAAAAATGTTCTGTATAAAATGACCAAATGTCATTTGTTCAATACACCTTCACCTTCATTTTCCTTTGAAGCAACTTTGCAGATACAACTTTTTTTTGCTGTTTCCTATGACAGATTGCAGTATTACTTGAATGTAGGCGAAATGGTAACGGTTCTATTTGTTTCAGGATATGGAGACTCAGCAGGTAAGTGAAGCTGAGTCAGTGAGAGAGCAGCTTCAAGACCTACAAGAGCAGATAGCAGCACATAAAATGGCCAAGCAAGAGGCAGAAGCTGAACTAGAACGGCAAAAACAGGTAAGGAGTTCTTGAAAGCTGGTTCCTCTTATTTTGGGCCTCACGGTGTCATCAGTAAAGCATTTGGCTTAATAAGAGAGTACCTTATACGATATTTGGGTTATTTTTTGTCTAGTATTCCAAAGAAATCCCCAAAAGCTTAATGAATGTCACTAGGCCAAACAAAGCACAACCAGTGGTAAGCAATGGGCAGTGCCTTCTGGATACTCGTGATAAACAGATCTTACTGATGTATTAAAGAATAAACATAACATGAGAGAGTGCACAAAATTGATCATGATCTTAAATTTTATTCAGCAGAGGAACAATCAAACAATAGGGATATAGTAACATTTGTAACCGTTATTTGTGTCAAGAAACTCAAATACTAAAAACGGTTACTGTGGAACTTCCTGTGCTCAGTTCCTACATAAGATTTAGCTCATAAAACAATGTTATTGTAGTACAAATTCATAGATTTTTATTTTTTTTTAATCCACTTGTTACTCAGTTCTGAATCTAAAAGTTGTTACTTTCAAACTGCTCTATAAGACAAATTCCTGATAAAATTATATTGATGAATTTTGCCAGATTGTGTCATCTTTTTAAGCAAACTCCCCCTTGATTTAAACTAAAAAGAGGGGAAAACAAGGCAAACTCATATTTCATGTGAACAAAATTATTATTCAGTAGGAATCAGACAAATGCTTTGCACCCTATTAAAAAATTTCTCTGTAAGGAAAAGCTCATGTAAAGAGAATTAATAATGAGGAAAGCAGGAGAGTACACTATATCTGCTAGGAACAATTTATCTTACAGGATTATCTGTCCTTCCAGAAATTACGTTTTAATGAGATACTAGCAGCTTGAACTAATTAAAAGGCAGAAGTCGAAGTCTGCTCTTGATGGATGGCTCATGTTTATTATATCAAAGCAGATGGTAGATTGTATTTTGTTACTCTTGCCCATCTGAGGGATATATTTTAAGTCAATACTACATATAGAAGAAGTGAGGTGAATTTGAAAAAAAAAAAACTAATTGTCAGTTACTGCAGAAACTGAAGTATTTCTTTTGATGACACACATTTACACGTGCTTTTAAAGTAATTGTGTGCGTTGATACTTAATACAATTAAGGTCTGTTCGATCTGGGAATTCCTTTAACTATTGCCATAAGGTTTCTGAGACTGAAGATGGAAAATAAATAGAGGTGTTATTTCTCGTACATCTGATGGTTTGAAGGGACAATAGGATTACGTGTTTTCTGTAGCAACTGACAGCTGAAGTGATACAGTGATTTGAAGACGGTCTTAATTTAAAAGATAAGCATGACAGTTCTTTAAGTCGGAGTTAAAATAGCCACTAAATCATGGGAGTAACAAAACTTATGGTTAGATTTACTGTTCAGTAAGATGTCCCTTTTAATATTCCTTCCCCTTTCACATCTGTTACATTAATTTATCCTAAACTTTAAGGGAAGATCTGTAATCACACAGAATTATAGATAGATATGCCAGGTGGTTTTAAACACTTTTAAAAAATGGTATCTTGTATTGATGGGTTTATTTTAGGAATACAGATTCCCCTCCCAATATTTCCTAATTGTTTAAGTTACATTATTGACATCGTTTCAAGATAGAAATGTAATAAATGATGAAAGTATAAGGAAGATAAATCATGGTCCCATTGAAATTATGTGACTCTTAGTAAACAAGTCTGGATTAATATTTATATTAGGTCAGTCTTCACAAAAGAATTTAATAAGTCTTGTAGGTTGTGTCTTCATGCTCAACTCTTTTTCCCCACCCCCTCCCCATCCTAGCCAGACACTTAACTAAGATTAAATTTCAGTTTATATTTGATTGCAGCATATTGCCTTCTGGTGTTCTACTGTGAAACTCTAGATAAGAGAATATCTCTCAAAATACATATATGTATAAGATCTTTTATTTGTGATTGTGATAAATTTTATAGGAACTCCATTATACTGAAGAAGATTTATATCGAACAAAAAATACTTTGCAAAGCAGAATAAAAGACAGAGAGGAAGAAATTCAGAAGCTCAGAAATCAGGTACTGTGTGTGTATAGAAAATAACTTGTGTCACCTTCAGTTATGGACACAGTGATGACAACTATTAATTTGACTAAACTATACAAAAGAAACATAAAGGCTCTACTAATGAGTTACAGTGTACTTGTTTTCAATACAGGGTAGAGTTTTGACTGGAGGGAGTACACGAAGGGAACCATGAAGTAGTAAACAGCATAATTTATCATTGCTTTTGTCTTGGGGTGGGGCGGGCGGGGAAGAAAATCAACCTCTGTCCCACCTAGACCTGACGGGGTGGTGCTGGATCAACGTTCTTTTTGAAAACTAAAAAAAGTCATTGGCATTTGATTAGGTCATCATGATTTCTGCTAAGATCCTTTTAACTGGAAATGAGAACATAGGTAACATCCCTACAGACTCAGTGATCCATCTAGCCCACTGTTCTGTCTTGGACAGTGGCAGTGGGGTCAGCATGTGAGCCTGACTGCTTTCTTCACTCCCTTGTACTCGCTAAGCATCAGCAGTTGAATTAGGGACATTAGTGTTTAAGTCCCTAAGTCCCACCGGTATGTTTATGGACCTATTTTCTTGAATCAGTTTAATCCCTTTTAGAACCTTCTGATACTTGTCAGCCCCCAGTCTCCTTGGGCAGCATGAAGGCATAGGCCTCATTTTGTGTACATTATTTTAGCATAATGAAAAGTAGTCTATATGTAGAGAAATTGATAGTCTAGAGTCAGCTATGGTCAGCTGTGCAGTTACAGTGTCAGAGGATTTCAAATTGTTGGATTGTGACAGAAGTTTCTTGAGCCTGTTGGCAGATGATTCTTCTGGTAATGTTGGCTTCAGGACTACCTACACCTGCCCTGGTGCATGCATGTAATTTGTATTTTTGATATCTCACTGCCTCTGGATCCTGATGATTCTGTTTTTTCATCATTGAAGCTACATCTTTGTAGTATATGATGCTGCAAGTGGCTGAGGTCCAAGACTGTAGTGAATAGATGAGCTCTTGCACATATGGCTAATCTGGAGATTCCCATTTGCTTTAAATATTTTCTGCAAATTGAATGATTTGATCCACATCTTCATTCACTGTCCTTGCAGTTTCTATTTGCTAGTACAATCTTGTTTTCTGCCTCAGTGCTCCTCAATACTTCTGTAGCGTATGCTGCATTTTCACCATTTTCATTCAAGCTTTCCTGTAGAATGGCATCAGATTCTTCCCGTTTGTACTGAGTTTTTCCTTCTTCCGTTGAAAACATTTTACGTACTCAATTGTTTTGTAAAGTTGCAAGTATGATAGCCAGACTGGATTATCTTGCTATTGTCATGCCTACCATTTAGACTCGGCTCTGAGCCATAGCATTGATTTTTGTGATCAAACTTGTGATTATACAGAAATGTTCATATGATTAGAGGTGGAAAACATAGGAATACATGTTTATACATCTTGTGCCATGTAAAATCTTGTTTTAGCAGCTGTTGAAATTAAGTTTCTTCTTTATTGTGCTCATTGGTGATCATTTTGATAGTATTACTAGATTTCTAGAGTTTTGCACTATGTCAGTTGGTCAGACTTTGAACTTACTCTTTTTTTCTTTGCTTTGTTTTTTAGCTCACAAACAAGGCTCTAAGTAGTAGTAGTCAGACAGAATTAGAGAATCGGCTTCATCAGCTGACAGAAACACTAATTCAGAAGCAAACCATGTTAGAGAGCCTGAGCACAGAGAAAAACTCACTTGTCTATCAACTGGAACGACTTGAGCAACAGCTGAAGGCTATCCAAGGCACTAATACTAATGGACCTTCCATTAATATGGCAGGCATTGATGGTGCTGAAGGTAAATAAGGAAATATAATACTTAACTCTGTCCTTTCTACAGTTCAGGCTTTTATATTTCCTAATGCCTTTCCCTGAAAGTCTGAGTTTATAAGGAAAAAAAAATAATGCTGAAAGTATGCAGCTTATGTCAGAGACCTTGTCAACAGCAGCCAGTATCATAAAAAATAGTTAAGTAGAAGCTCCATTTTGTGTGTAAATTACTTTAGGTAAACTTATTAAAGCCAATTTAATCTTTAATTCTCAATACTATGGCACTATTGGAACAATCATATTTACAAATCCTGTCACAGGTGCAGATAAATCTGTCTTTTGGGGTTTAAACGGAATGTCAGAAGCAGGATATAAAAGCCTTCTCTTGTAAAAAGGGTTTGGGAGGTGAGCAAGAATGGGATGCTTCCTTTTGAGAGTTGATCAGAATTCTGGTTGAAATCAATTTCCTCCTTGCTTTCTGTTTCTTCTTGAAAAGCAGCTTAAAAGATGGTGGTTCTGCTGAGGTTGATTTGTGGTTTGTCTATACTGTGTAGCGATCATCCTCTTAGCTCTAGGAGAACCTCAGCAGTTGATCCATGGTTTTGAGATGTTACTTTTCAGAGTCAAAGTTTGTAATTTTGTATATGTGGTAAGTAACTTCAAAAGCAACAGACAATTACTAAGAGGTGAAAAATGACAATCCAGACTTTTGATTCTTTGCTTACGAAAGACTTTTAAAAAAAATAAGGCAGGAGAACTAGCAGATTTGAAGTATTTCCTTTTGACTTGTTTTTAAGTAACTTCAGTAAGCTTAAGTGTAGTTGTACAAAGGTAACATTATCTGAGAATCTTTTTTTAATAAAGTTGATCCATAGTAAAAATGTAAATAAGGTAGAAATTTTTGGAATATACAAGTTAGTATCAGAAATGCTATTGAAGTTTTACTGTATGAGAAATAAAAGCAAACGGAGAAACTGTGACAGTATCTAACCGATCATTTTATACACCTAATAATGAAGCTATTACATGATAGAATTAAATATCAAGATGTCCATGTAGTGAACTAAAATAAATTTTAAAAATATACTACGTTGAAGAAACATTTTACTTGATTGTAAGTTTATCAAGAATCCTGCTCTCAAAACACACTCCTCAGCCCCTAGCGAAACAGCAATAACAAATGAGATTAATCACTATTTTTATGTTATTTTTATATGTCTTTATTATACAATATCGATTTGTTTTACTTAAGTTAGCTGGTTTTAGACTAATGAGATTTTTTGCCTTTTTTTGCTTCAAATAGGTGCTCGTATGCGTAATGTTCCTGTCCTGTTTAATGATATGGATACTAACATGGCAGGAATGTATGGGAGAGTTCGCAAAGCTGCCAGTAGTATCGATCAGTTTAGGTAAGAGCGTCCTCAGGGAATACATTTTGTAACTGCTGGAATCCTTTTGCAGTTTTCACGTGGCACACCTTCTGTTTTGAATTGCTTTTGTGAAAGTAAAAGTAAAAAATAAAGAAGCTAAAGTACAGTATAAATTACTAAATATTGACCTATTTCCCTTGTGGTTTCCTGTAATATTAATATCCTTGGGCTTTTGCAAATTATAGTCAATGATTTAAACAATGCTCTTGTAGATTTTTGATACAGGAGAATCACTAAACTATGTACAAAAAACCTAACCTTTTTCACTTTCAGAGGTTTTGTCTGCAATAAACACTGTAAGGGTGTATTAGTGGGGGAGTATCATACGTATTCTTTTACTCCTGTTTAGGCATCCTGATGAAGGCAAGATCCTGTGTTCTGACCCAGTGCAGCTGTTTACCTTGAAAGATAATCTGTTCGAGGAGTTAGTAAACAAAAATCATTCTAGATGCAGCAAAAGACTTGCTTTGGTCCCTTTTCCAAGCAGTTAGGATAACTGTCAATATTCACAACAAAGGTCTGCTCCAAAACTTGAATCAAATGCCAATAGAAAACAAAATTAGGTAATACTTCTTAATGCTTTGAAAAGAAGATACCTTGATAGAAGGGCCTTAGTGCTTCCGTGGTACTTTAATTTCATTGTGAAGAATATCAGGATTTCCATGATTGGGTCCTATTATGTGTGATATTTTAATACTAAACTTCATTTGGCAGTATCATACTCACTTCAGTACATGGATAGGGTTTTTTTGACTGATGTTAGTGAGCAACAGTGCAGAGTTCTAATGCAGTGTACTTTGTTGCACAGCAGCAGTAAACTTGGAAAACCCATGTCCTTTTCATCTAATGGGTTATAGGAACAGTAGTGATCTGTCAGGTTTTTCAAAGGAATCCAAGGTTTTAGTTGCTTAAGTCTTTTTGAAAGATTCATGACAGCTCTTCAAGTAACAAAATTTGACAAATATCTAGCATATTTGTGAGTTTTAAAATACCTGTACAACTCTTGAGTCTTAGCTCTTTTTCAAAAACTCTGAGCCTAGCCTGTAACAGGAAAAATTAGGAGGGTATGTTTTATGGTCTGAATTCTGAATTTTCTCACTCCATTTAATGTCTTGAATGCATGAAGTAAAATTCAAGTCAGAAACAAAGCCCTGTCTATAACATCAGCTGATATTTATGAGTTTGGTGTCTGGAATGAGAGGAACAGGAATTTATCGCTCAGTGTTAACTTGTGCATTTTGTTTTCACTTGTGTAGCATTCGGCTGGGAATCTTTCTAAGGCGGTATCCAATAGCAAGAGTCTTTGTGATCATTTACATGGTAAGTAAGCTTTCTTTAAAGTAAGAAGCTTAATGCAAGATTTCTACAGCCAGTTTGTATAACATGTCTTAAATTGCAAATGTTTGAAGTTCAGAAGGCTATATAATTAATAACTCAATGTGGTTTTTTGTAAAGCAGACTAAATAGTACTTATATAACAGCATTTTGGAGTCCCGTTGCTTGGCAGTTTTCAGTTTTTCCCAGGAATTCTTAGTATAGCAGTCTTAAAGACATTTATGTAACTACCCTTTAGAAGACTGTAAAATTACATTTTTAGCACTAAAATATGGAATAATAATGACCTATTGCCAAGGTTAACCCACCACACCTGCGTGCACTACGTTTAGGAAAATGACATCTGTTTTTTAATATTTGGGAGTTCAGTTTTTGTTCAGTGACTAATAATCACATTTCTCTAGTAGCTGAAAAAGTAGCAAGAGGTTTTTCTTGCTAGACTTAAACAAATAGTAGAAAGTTGCTTATCCATACCGGCTGAGATTGTCAGACTGGCAGTTGATAAAAGTGAAATTCCTCCCTTTTCCACTGGAGGGCAGATGTCTGTCAGTTGAAGTGACCTGTGGTAAGGTCGGTGTGCAGTCTACCCTTCTTGAAAATATTCCACTAGTTGAGCCTTTGAATCTTTGAAATGGAAAGAAAACCCACGTTGCTTGAGAAGGCATAATGATTATTCTGAACAGAGTTTCCAAGAACAGCTGTCAGTATTTGAGGATATAAAGCAGACAGACATGCATGCTCAAAGGAAACTACGATTTGCCCCTGCAACTGCTTCTTCTGGACTATAGAGTACTGGAAGGAACAGGGCTGTTTAATCCCTAGCTTCTCTCTTTCTTCTTGTTCATCACTTAGGCTTATCAATGTATTAATACAATGCTTTGTACCAAAATACTGAAGACTTCTATTGCCTAAGCTGCTATCAGAAGTGAAACTCAGTGATGGTTACATAGGAGCTGTATATTGGGCAGTCAGTGGCAGTTACCCTTTTTCAGTTCAAACCTTGACTATGACTATTGTAACTGGAATTTTTTTTTTTTTTAAAGGAAATGTGGCTTATGTATTCTCTCAGCCATCTCCCGTGTTGCACCCCAGCAATTTCTATTCTAATTGGATAGTTTTAGCCAAAGTTGAATGAGAATTAACATTCCTACAGAGTTCATAAAAATGCCTAAATCAGTGCCTGTGGTCAGGAGAAGGGAAGCAGAACTCAGCTGTTTTACACAGCCTGATATCAGCCAGTTGGTGCAGGAGTAGTGGCTTACCAGTCAGTTGAGGCAGACAGGGGGGCTGGGTATCAGAGGGAACAGCTGGAGTTGGGGCATGGAGGAAAAGAGAAGCAGAGGACATAAATCTGTAGGAAACCAGGCTGCTTTATTTTTGCTGTTTGTGTAAAGTCTTTAGTTTTCTGCAGATGGCTTCTTCAGAATCTGACTCAGCATTTTATTGTGCAAATAAAAAATTTTTTTTTATGGTTATCTGAATAATAGGAAAAATATTTAATCAAAATATTTCTACAAAACTAGGTTTTATTAGCTTTCAGTAAGAACTGTTGTATTTACTGCTGCTATGAATGACAATTGTCAGTGGTGATAAGTTAATTCTTCAATTTCTTTCTTCAGGCATTGCTTCATCTCTGGGTCATGATTGTTCTACTTACCTACACCCCAGAAATGCATCATGACAGTCCCAGTGGCAGATAGTCTGAGACAGAACCGTATGCTGTGCTAGTGTAATTTGGACTGGCAGGGTCTTTAGAATAATCAGTCCTGAAACATCAGCAAACTTTTCCTCATGGTGTTTAGGAAGACCGTCATGCCTGATCTATCACTACTTTTCAAATAGGTGTATAATACTATGTAGCTTTTCCAATTTACGTAAAAGAGTATCACTTTCATGGTGAAATAAAGCTATTAAGTTAAGCTATGGTTAGCCTTTACATTTTATGTAGACCTTCTGGTGGTTAGAGTAAAAGATAAGGCTTGCACCTACAGAGAAATGCAAGGATTTATGAAATTACAGATACATATATATATATATATGGTACAAATTAATTTAGATCATACTGGATGTGGGCTATGGTCAGGTGATAACCTGTACTTAGCAATTTAAATAAACTATTCTTTCTGGTTTCTTTCAGTCCGCTTTTGCACTTCTGTTTTTAACTTTGTAAATAATAGGCTTTTCCTTAACATGTTAAACTGAACAAAGGACAATGGATTGGTGCAATATCTTTTTGTAAATAAGTTTAAAAATAAAATATTATGCATTCTTGTTAGCTTTGTACTTGTAGTGCAATAGATGCATCTTCTCTACCAGCTGAATAGTGGGGATGCCTATTTAAAGGCTGGTATTTTAGCTTTACAGAGAAAGAGAGAGACGGTTTTGAGAAAGGAGGTTTAAACTATTTAGAAATAATGGTGTTTGGTTTTGCACTTGGAATTTATATATTTTAACTGCATTTTCTTATACCTCTGTCATTACTACGTGTCTTAATCAGATCTTATATTAATCGAAATATTTATTTTCTAAAGCTTTGGGTACTTAATTAAAACTATTTCTATACAAAATCTATCAAAACATCAAAAATTTCTCATATCTAAACACTTACCAAGTATACTAATAAACAAACCTCATGAAATATTTATCGTAAAACCCATAACATGAAACCTACTGCAATAATTCTATTGTTAGAATGTGGCATTCTGTAATTATGAATTACCAATACACAATAATACAAGGTCACTTTCTAAAAAAAAAGAAATTTCTTGTTTTCTTGTGTGGTGCTCAAGGTGAGTAGTGAAAAGATGACTACAAGCAATTTGTCACTCCTGCTCTTAAATATGGTTCAGTTTTCATGTGACTTGAACACACGAAGCATTAGGTCTTGTGCATGCAGTCTGTCATGCGAACTCCTATGGAACTGTTACAGTAGGCAAATGACTGTATTGCTGCTCTGAGTCAGATCTTGCAGAGAAAAAGGAGATGTTTTGATGAACTAAGTAATAAAAGAGCATTTACTCTAAGTTGTGTCCCTACCCTCTGTCACGTTTGCTGCACTTTGCTTAATTCCTGTTGCCTGTTTTCTTTTGAATTCTGATATTAAAGCCACTTTTGAACTCTGGGGAGAGCCAATTGCTATAGAAGGTCAGGTAAAGGCCTTTGTACAACCTTTTTCTATACACTGCGTTTTTTTTCATTTAAAAACATCCAAACCATTGAATCTTTGGATACTCCAGTGTATTGTGACAATTTGGGGGGAACACTCTTACTTGTATAAACCCCTTCCAGCTTTGCTAACATCACAGTAACTGCACATTTATTCTTGCTTCCTTTCTCCCTATGTTTTTTTCTCCTTTTCCTTCCTCTCTTTTTTTTTTTTTTGTGACTTACTAAAGCCACTACACTGCTTCTGAAACCCTTCATCACAGATTAGTATTATTCAGTTCTGCCAGATTTTATGCTAGAAATTTTACAGGGATAAGCACTAAAAACTGCTGACCTTTGCCTTTGAACTGGGCGCTTGTATTCCAGTATCAGTTTGGGCTTATGTAGTGTTGACCTCTGTGATGATGTCTTAGAGTTGAGAATAATGTCTTTAGTGCAGGGCACTTGAGCAGCATCAGCCTTGTGTTCTTGACCTTTGTGTGTGTTGCTAAGATGTTTCTGGTTTTATTCCTTGTCCACAAAATGATGTATAACATTTTTTTGTTGCAACTTCAGTTCCCAACTTTACTATCTATCAATTTCTTTTTTTTTTTTTAAATACTCATAAAAGGACAGCACAGCTGTTTGAGTACCCGATTATATTCTGAAGGTGCGATGTTAACAACCAAACTGTGAATCAGTGTGTTTTCACCTAGTAAAAAACCTGGAAGTACGCAGCTTATAGTCGCAATGCCTTGCCAGACAAAGGGCTGTTCAGTGTGGAGAGGAAACAAATGCTACTGTGTCACTAAAGGCTATACTATGGTTTACATAAACACCTTTAAAGCTCTCTTTAAAGCATAGAAGAGTATGAAAAGCATTTATTATGGTGTTAAACTGTTTCAGAGCTATACAAGACTTACAAAGAACTACTCTTTAAAGCTTTTGTTTAAACACAGAGGAGTTTTGCTCCCATAATTCATTTTAATAAGCTGCACATGATGCAGTACAAGAACACACAGGACTGTGTGATGGAGTCTATCTGAATATAAATGTCAAATTTTGAGTTGAACAATAAGCTATACTTCCTGCCTCTGATTAGCAATGTTCGGCTCCGATGTCATCTGTATAGATTTGCGAAGTGTGCCACAGTTACAGGTCAAGCGTGACGTAAGGACATCATTTCATTGAGCAGCTCCTAATGGTGTCAGGAGGTTGCCTTACTGAACAGATGGCTTTGGAGCTCACAAGAAGCTTCTGTTAGCCTCTGTCTTAAGTGGCAGGAGGATAGTCCAAGTGCCAAGTCTGTTCTTGAGTGACTGTCATACTACCGGGCAGTTAAACTACCCTGGCTTCAGAGACCAGCATAGCAATTTAGGGGTTTTAAAAATATTTTACAAATGCTGAGCCTATCTTTCCATGCTCTGTAGCCTAGCACCAGAAATAAATGGTCATAATAACTCACAGAAAATAGCAATTTCTGTCTCCTAGCTGCTGTACCTCACTGCCTTGAGAGTACAATAGGCTATTGTGTGGCTGAAGAAAAGTCCTTTTTCATTTCCTTCCTTCTAGGACTGAAACTGCTCCAGGTAGTCTTTTTTTGAAAGAGTCCAAAAGATGGAAAATGAGGAAGAGAGGGTTGATAGGGACCATCAGATTATTTATTTATGTTTATTTCCCCCCTCCTCATTTGTGCTCCGTTTCCATGCTGTGGTCGGAAGGACAGCATGCGTTATGCCGCCTTTCTGGAAGGGGGTGAGGGGAGGTGTCCCCTCTGGGGTGGCCGGCAGCAGGCTCGGGGGGAGCAGCTGGGTGACCACAGGTGAGGATGGGAGCTGCTCAGGCAGAGAGGGCTGCAGAGGGAGGCAGGGATGAGTAGCAAGAGCAAGACTACTCTTTATCTGATATTTTGCAGCCTAGAAAAAGACCTGTTTCTTTCAGATGCTGGTCATCTTAGTACACGTTCAATTATGTTGTTCTCAGTGCCAGATTTGGATTTCTGTGAAAGAGGGTTTTGTATGAATACTCACAAGTCCTTGTGTGACAACAAACTCTTCTTTGCCACCTTAGTTTGCAGATATCTGATCTCTCTGCTTTATTTACTGTGCTAGGTCAGCCGTGTGTATACCAAGTCCCTATGCAAAGGAAATGACTTTATTGTTTGACTGCAGATAACATTAACAAGGGGGAAATCAGATTTGCAGCGGCAATTTTTATGAATTCATTAGAATTTCAATTGCTTTCCCTTGTATGTTACCGTCTTACCCTGTGGCTTGAGTTTAGAAAGCCTTGACTTGGAAACAGGCAGACAGAAACCCAGAAATTATGAGAGATGAATAGTAGCTCCCCAAATTATCTGCGTTATTCTAACAGGCATGCATGTGCATGCACTCATATAAATAATCCTCTTAGGTATATAGTTTCCTTTCAGATACGCACTCCTGAACATGATCTGTATTTTATGGTACCCGATGTTGGGCTGCTGGCAGCACCAGACCCTGCCACTGAACTGCACAACTAGTGGAATAATCTTCCGAACTCTCCCTACCTAATCTTGCTTCCTGCCAATATTGCTTGAATTAAATGCATCAAGAAGTAAGTGCAAGCTGTTCACAGAAACTATCCAATATTACAGGCAGCTCAAGGAACTGGGGGAACTGTGGGCTGTTGAGTAGATCCAAGGCGTAAGTGAATCAAGTTAGGGGAAAAGCTTGGGCTGGGAGCAAAAAGACACTTTTTCTAGTTGGAGGGGAAAAAACAAAAGCTGTTGATTTATTATTAAAAAACTCTGCTAATGATGTGGTTAAAAGTCTGACAGGTCCAGTCTCATGTAAGAGACTTCTTGTGAGAAAATAAAAGATAATGAAAGAGAAGGAATGACCTTTTTGTGCCATGACTTAGGCTTTTCTAATCAAGGAATCAGAAGCATGATGGGTGTTTTGTCTAAAACTCACCTTTCCTGTGCTGAAATTTAACTCTTTTTCAGACAGATGTTGCATATGCAGCTTTTCATGTTTGCAAGTTCAGTTCAAATCAGGATAATTATATTTTGAGTCCACATTTGTTGAAGAGAAACTGGAGGAGGATACAAATAAGCAGGAGTCTGAGCTCTGTAGCAGCAAGTGAATGGGCTCCAGATGTTCTGCAAAATCCAGCAGGTGTGTTTGGTAAAGGTCTGTTATAAGAAATTGATGTTCTCATTTGCTGTAGCTACCAAAGCTGTAAGTAATCAGTTGCAGCAAAATATTTGGTATGATATAGGAAAGATTTGGGCTTGGAGGAATGGGATAGAGTGAATGTTGGTTTTTTCACAAAGGAAAGGAATCTGTTTTGGTATTCATAGTGAAGAGGAATGTTATGAAAGACAGCACTTTCTCCAGTCTTGTGCTAATGTTCTTGGTATATTTTCTCAAAAGCTTATAAAGAAAATACCACCTTAACACTAGTGTCTTACAGCAACCTGAACAGAGATAATTTTCATATGCAAACTGAAGCAATAATTAAGTCCTAAATCGCTCTATTAAAAAAATTAAGGAGCTTGCTGAAATCATTTGTGTTGATGTCTTTAGTGGCAAGAAAACATAATGATTCACAATTAGTGTTTAATTTGTAATTAGAAAACATATTCTGCTGGATGAGAGATGGGATATGCCAGTTTTCTGCCCAAACAGGTAGGTGCTTGAGGAGATCTCTGCCCGTGAGTGTCCCATCTCCATTGCAGCATCCCTGGAAAGCTGGGCGGGAGCCTTCCAGTTTCACTCCTGCTGTGACAGCTCGGGAGGTTGCACAGATGCAGCAGATGAAACAAAGAGCAGAAATTACTATTTCCCTAGCTGTTCATGCTGATGTTCAAAGCTTCCCCGTACAATAAAGCCAGCTCAG